AGGCTTGTAACTAAGGGTTTTTTTTAATTTTATTTTTAAAATGCAAAATGTGAGAATTAATGGAACCAGTTAGTGAAGTAAACAAAACTGTTATAGGGTAAAGTTATACATCATACTTAGACTATACTAAAGGCACTTAAATGCAAACTCCCACATGTTAAAGCTCATTAACTCATGCTAAGTGCCATCTGAGGCTGCATTCCCATGAGCAGGGGCGTGTGATTGCCACGGGGAAAAAAAGCAGTGACACAATTAATGCTGCTGCTTTTTGCCCTGGTGCAAGCCCCTGCATGTGGCATTAATACAGAGAAAAATGCTCTGGGTGAAGTAGGGGAGGCTGGGGCCAGCATCTGTGCCGGCTCCAGCAGCCTTACTTGGGGTCCTGAGCACTTCCCTTGGCAGCAGCATCGGCTTTCTGGGCATGAAGAGCCTGGTCAGCAGCTGAAGCATGGCTTTAACCAACCAGGCTCCAGTTTCAGGCAGTGCACACTGCCACAACCTGTGCCACCCTGCTTTTCGCTGGCATGGTGTTTTTTTTGACACCGGGAGATCCCAGTGTCAAAAAAAAAAAATCCCTGTACTGCGCAGTGAATGCAGTTTGCAGCACCACAAACATGTTTGTGGCACTGCAGACCACACATGTCTGCTCATCTGGATGTGTCCTGAGTGTTTCAAAGTTCACTTCAGGTGCGGTTAGCTCTGAGTCATGCTACCAAGCTCATGTTAAAGGTAACTTCAGTCTGATTGCAAAACAAAAATTTGCAATCTTTCAACATCCCAGGCTGTACCCCTCCCAGCCCCCCTCAACCCCCTTCCCCAGGAGCAAGGATAAGAGCCCAGGTGTCCTAGCTCTTAGCTCCACCCTGTAGTAGAAAGCTAAGAAATTATATTAACCCTTCCACAGCATCTTCTAACTTTATTGTGGCTCAACATTGCACAGATTTAGCAGTCTTAAGTGTAACTTGCAACTTCATCTTTACTCAGGATCTTCAATTTCTTAAAATAGAGTGGGAACAACTAGCTGGACTTTCTATCTTTAGCCAGGGACTTGTAGGGAAGAGCTCTGGTTCAACTGGATATATAACTCTCTCATAAAGGTATAAGCAAGTAGCCTACACAGAATGGGAAAAAGGAATTAATCAAAAGAACACCTATATCTGTGTAGCAGCCTTTAAAAAATGGACCCACCTGAACAGAAGGGGAAGAGTTGCCTGGCAGAGACAGTTTGTCCCAGAGGGGACACTGCAGGCTCTGAGGGCAAGTGAAGCTGTTTGGGAGCAGCCCTGTTGGAAGTGGGAGGGGTGATGTAACCCCAGCAAAGTTTGAAAGAGAGCCCTTAGCAAAAGGCTGGGAAGGGCCCTGAGCTGGGATTGGCTGAGAGACTTGGATAAAAGGGGGAGCAGTTTTTCCCGTGGGGGGGAACAAGAGAGAGAGAGGGGGCCGAGGGACAGGCTGGAGACCGGATTGAGAGTCTCAGCGCAGTGGTCCCTCGGAGAGCCCTTGAGAGAGGCCTACATGAGCAGAGTGGAGAAGCTGCGAGGGCAGGAGCAGGCAGGGACTGCTGGTGTGGAGAACCCAAGTCTGAAGAGACCTGACTGCAGCCGGTGTGGCTGGGTGAGCACAGCAGAGCCCGGGTGGGGACTGCCGGAGTCTGCCCTAGTTTCCCTGAGGGGTGAGGGGCCCCAGGGGCAGGCAAAGCCCAGGGAGGGGCTGCATTTGCCGGGGCTGTGAGCCTGTGTGGGACAGTAGGAGGGTTGCTATAGCCTGCAGCCCAGACACTACTCACAGCGGAACTAGGGAAGGGGGCAAAGGCAGGGGAAGGCTGTCTTGCAGGAACTGCAGAGGAGCCGCTGCTTGCTGCTCAGAGACCCCAGGAGCACGGAGACGGACACCAGCGCCAGGGAGCGTCCATAGACCACGTGCAGGGACACAGACAGTCCCGCTCCCTGAGATACCCCGCCAAAGGCAGTGCACACGGGATCCCCAGTACACTGTGTGCAAGTGAGAGACTGTGTAACTAAGTTCTTGAGGGTTTATTAGACAGTATATCCATGTGCTTATTTAATGATTATTTATTATGATGTAAATAATTACATCTTGTAAATAGTTTGAAAACTGTCTGCAAGGGTGCTTGATTGTAAAGGGAGGCTCTCCGCTCAGGGGCACTGCAGCAGCTTCCCAGGGGGGCTGGGCAGGGCTACTGGCTACTGGGTACCCCAGGATCCCATTATTCAGGTGAAGGCGCATGTACTGTCGCGCCCAGGGTTACATCTGGGAGGTAAGAAAGTGTTGGGACAAACAGAAAACTGCCAGAATTGAAGATGAGTTAGACTTTGCTAAGGAAATTAGAGGAACTAGCAATAAAAAATTCCGAGTCAAATAAATAACCATAAAGAAAGAAGCAGGACAACTCTGCAATAACAATTGGGTAGAGGATTTTGTGGGTGGCCCCAAAACTAGATGAACACTAGATAAACATAGAAGTAAAGGGTGTGTAGAAATCACCACATCAGCTGAACAAACAAAGCTGAAACAGTTTAATATGTCAACCAGGGAGTATACCTCTGTGCTTAGAATATTAAAAGAAGTGGTACATACCATTTCAAATTCTTTTGAAAGGAATTTTAATAAATTTAGCCCATTGAGGGTGGTAATGTTTAATTGAAGAATTTACAACATGGTGTTTAAAATACTGGTAAAAAAAATATTCTGTTCAAATAGTACCCCATTAGTCTCCCAATAGCTGGCAAGGCTTTAGAATAAATTAAAAAAAAATAGATATAAATGGAAAACAAGATAAAATGCAACTCTTGGGTAGTAAAGCATGCTTTTAGTAACATTACACAATAGCTTTCTTTGATTAGAAAATTGATATTTTAGATAACTAAAATGAGGGACATCTAGGGATTGATATAGTGCCATAAGTCAAAAACTTAGTTAATATAAAGAAGGCAGGAATTAGTACAGGAATCACAAAGTAGTAAATAACTGACTAAATGGGAGATAAGGTAGAAAAAAACTGACTAAATGAGAGATACAGTAGAAGGTACTGAAAGGGGAACCATGGGGCTAGGACAAGATATTAGTAGAGTTCTCCATGAATAGTTTTGGGCCCAATCTTATTTAAAATTTCCATTAATGACCCTTTCACAAAGTGTTGGAGTGTTCTAATGAAGTTTGCTGATGACTCAAAGTTGGAAGGCAGTGTGTATATAGAACAGCACACAGGAAGAACTGGAGAAACAGAAATGGATGAAACTTAATGAAATTAAGTACAAGGCCATGTGTTTAAGGGCTTATCATCACAATTTGTGCAATAAACTGGAGGATTATAATTTGGAAACAAAAGAAAGGGAAGACAACCTGTGCATATTTGTTGACCATAGGATAATTATGAACCTCAAATGCAATGGATCTCTCTTCTTTTTCTCATGTCCTATCACTGTGTTCAAATTTGGGTTAAGAAATAAACATACTGTTTTTCAATCTGTAGCTTTAGTGAGGTCTTCATTGGTATGTGATTATCCTGTACATGGGCAGGACAGCTTGTGTACTGTAGTTTGAAAGTTTCCTCCACATTCACACATGGAATTTGCATCATTTGAATATCCCCACAGTTGCATTTTAACTTTAGTCTTACTGACCACTTTTGGGAGGCAGTTCCGGCTTCTCCATGGAAATAACAGAGGAGAAGGAATACTTGTGCTTACTTGTTGACTACAAGATAATTATGAATTACAAATTCAGTGGGTCTTTAAAAACTAGAAATGATCCTAGGATGTGTCAGGAAAAGTATTGCAAGCAGAGAGAAGTTGTACTATTGCTATCATACAAGGCACTAGTCAGAACTCATCTGGCATACTGTGCATAATGTTGGCCACCCACATTCAAGAATTCATACTAGCACAGGTAGATATACTAGCAAATCAAATGAATGGAAATAATTAAAGATTAAAAGAGCTTAAATTATTTAGAGTAGGAAGAAATGTTGCTCTTGAATCAGTGCAAGAGTATAGCATATCAATGACTATTTCAATGCAGAAAAGAAATCATTAGGTTCTGCAGGAGGCTCTCCTGAAACTTATCTTTAGGTCTATCAGGAAAAATCAAACTCCAATTTATGGAAAAACAGTAAGATTTTTAATTGTGTTTCTGTTTTGCATCAGAATTAAAAAAAAAAGACCTTTTAAACACTTTTTTTTATATAAAAACGGAATTTCCTGCTTGGCTTTTCTCTCTATGCCCTTAATGTAGTGTGTGTGTGTGTGTGTAGTGAAAAGTTTTTATTTTTTGAAGATTTTGAATTTTTGATGAAAACGTGTTTTTGAATACATGCTGGCTAACTTTAGATATTCTTAGATGGCACAAATGGCAGATGATTCATGATGGATAATGGTAGTTCATTCACATAAATAAATGTTTGAAAATTAGTCCCTAAGATTGCCCTTGTCCAATATGAAGTGGAAGAAGGTAGAACACCACACTTGCATATTAAAATCTTGACTACATTTTAATGACTAATTGGCAATCAGAAATCAAATCAGATAAATTAATGAAAATAGGCAAAATTCCTTCCCATTTCCCGTATTTCAAGGGGAATTAATGTTACCACGTCCCTTTATTACCACCTCTTCACATTAGCTCAACCAGTCTCCATGACTTTCTAACCAATACCTACTTGGAAAACAGTAATGACAAAGCCCCACCTGCAACTAGGATACTCCTAGTTATGCTCCAATTCTGCAACATGACTCATGTTAATAATCTAATCCTAACTCTTTAGTTTAGAATTCTATTCTTTTCACCAAAAAAGAGAAAAAAATAGATTTCTTAATATGACATTGACAAAATTAATAGGCGCATAAAGGAGTAGTGATACAGAAATTCAAAAAGGGCTTTTTATTGGCATAGTCTAAAAGTTAATACTTAAACTTATCTTGTAGCAAGCTACCTTATCTCATGAATTTATTTGAAAAATAATAACATAACATTTATCTTACCTCGGCAGATAGGAACTGGGAAATCCCATGATGCTGTGTTCACTGAGTTAGCTATACAAGTAAGCTGGGGGTGTCCATCCAAAATGTAACCAGTTACACAGCTGTATCGGATTTTATCACCAACATCAAATCTTGTACCATACAGGATACCCTTTGGTGGAACACCTGGATTGCCACAAGAACTGCTCTGTAATTCTGTAAGAGAAAAGCACTTATTGTTAGTTATCGCATACATATATTGCCAAGAGCGTATTGAATAATATGTAACAGCACTCATTATGGCTCAGATGGTATTCCAGACATCCGAGTCTCTGTAGCTGCTTTGCAAAAAATTATTTATTTATACTCAGGAGAGCAATCCTATTCTGTTTGGAGAAGCACACAGCTCCCCCACTCTGTCCATAGATAGTAGTTCATCTGCACAGGCCAGTCTTATTCTGTCCTAGGGAAGAACTGTTAGAAACCAGAAAGTGTGTTCATCCCTATCCTTCAGGCACCTGATTCAGTGTTGAATATTATGTTCCTTCATCATCTCAAGATCCTATCCTGAAGGTTGTGCTATTCCTAAAATAATCTGGACAAATTCTTACCAGCCTCTCTCTGAGTGAATAGTTAGAATCTCTGCAACCCCATGCCCTGCTTCCTGCTCCAAATTTAATCAAAGTATGCTTTGCTACAATTTAGATCCATTGTCTCCTGTTCAGCCATTTGTGGCAAAGGACGACAGCTTTTGTCCCTCTGGCTCCCTCTATGGAAGCTTTGAAAATAATTGAAAATTGTTATGATGTCCTCACTTAATCTTTTTTTTCCAAATGAATCGTAAGTAGTTATGAAGTGAAACAAAGCACTTCAAGAAGGATGTGGGCAATTTGGAAATATCCCAGCACAGAGAAACAAAAATTATTAGAGTCCTGGAAAGCAAGATTTATGAGGGGAGTCTGAAACAACTAGGAGTTATTTAGTCTGGAACAGAGAAGACTGAGGGGGGATTTTATAACAGTCTTAAAATACCTGAAGAAGAATTACACAGAGGATGGGGATGGGCTTTTCTCTGTGGCTATAGGAGACAGGACTAGATGCAATAGCCTCAAGCTTCAGCAGGGAAATTTAAGTTGGAGATTAGGACAAACTTTCTGTGAAGGTGGTCAAACATTAGAACAGGCTAGCTATAGAAAAAGTAGAATATTCATCCTTGGAAATTTTGAAGACCAAGTTAAACAGACACTTGACTGGGATAATTTAGTCAGGAATGATCCTGCCCTGAGCAGGGGGCTGGACTACATTACCTTGAGTCCCTTCCAGCTCTACTTTCCTATGATCTGGTATCTACAGCTCTCAACTCCAGCTTTGCACAGCTTCTGGGTTTAGCTGTTCCAGTCCTTTTATCTATATTGCTAATTTTGGCCTATTTGATATGACAAATCGAGAATTTGCACAATTTGATATGACACTGCTGCATTTAGCAAGACCAGATGCATTCAGGAGGAGACAGCTCAGAGTGCATAGAGGTGGGTACATTTTTTTTATGGAAGGAAAAGCTAAAAATGATTGCAAAACCAACACTGTGGATGAGTTTATCAAGAGCAAGACTGTTAGTCAGACCCTAGCATGTCCACTTGATATCAACAAGTGCCTCATGACCCTTCATCTTCAACTGACCAACAGACAACATGCAACACTTATCAATGCATGCATCCTGAGCCTTGATGGAGGTAAAGGAACAGGAGAACAGTTCTGTTCTAAACTCAAGCAAATCTTGTCATCTGTCCCTAAGAAGACAAGATAATTCTTTGTGGAGATTTCAGTACTAGAGTGGACAGGGACCCTGGGCTACAGAAAAGAATACTTGGAAGAGATGGGGAAAATTCAAAAGTGAAAGAACAAGTGGTAGGAGGATATAGCAAAAGAGATTCAAAAGTTTGCTGACAGCCACAGCATATCTTCAGTGTCTTCTTTGATGCCAAAACTATCTATGAGCCAAGTATACAAGGAGCAATCCCTCTGAGGTCCAAGGATGAAGACCTCTCAACCATCAACCCACAGTTGAAGAAGCACTTTCAAGAATTTTTTAATCAAGATTCTAATATCAAAGACAATACCATCAAGACCATTCAACAACACCCCATTAAGGATCTGCTTGCATATCCACTGACTAATCTAGAGGTTTTAGAAGCCATTAAGCTGATGAAGAATGACAAATCATGAGGTCTTGATGGAATACTAACTGAAATATATAAGCAAAATGGAAAAAAAAGCTCTCTTACCAACAATGCATAGGCTGCTAGCAAAAATTTTAAAAACAAAAACAAAGAAAACCCGCTTTATTTTGAACTTGATGCACTCCCATGATGAGCCCAGTGCATGCCCAGAAGAGGCAGTGTATTAGTTGGACTTGGCTCATCTGACGTCTGTAGAGATTGAATGCTTTAGTACGGCTTTTTTGGTGAGTTTATATAATAGCTGATTGAATCAGCTTCAGCTAAAAGCTCCAAAAAGCCACACTGAGGCAACCAATCTATATAGTCACTGTGGAGCCAGGTCAAAGTAACGCTCTGCTGCTGCTGGTAAAGCACTTTTTTTTTTTCATGTCTACAAGCAGCACAGCCATAATTATTAAGAAAATCAGATAAAATGAACAGATTCCTTCCTCTCACCTCAAAGATGCCAGAATCATTTCCATGTTCAAGAGAGGAGGACCTATAGAAGATCTCGATGAGATTTGGGCCATGTTACAGATTACTTTTAAACCATCATAGAGGGACTTAAAATAACATCATTAACCCATTAAAGGGTCTTAAAAGATCACAAGTATCCTTTAAATGTTTTAAAGGTAAGCAACTCAAAAAAAGGTTTATCTTAGAAATGTTTTACCCACGCTTTCCTACAGCATTGTTTGAATGGACAGGGGAGGTAAAACTAAGGCTGGCAAGCCAGTCAGTTGACTGGTCAACTATAGTCAAGTGACAGATCAGTGGACTACATATTTTTTGACAACTCAAATTTTATAGCAATTAAAAAATATTGCCTAGAGGTGGGCAAAAAAAGACATTCAAGGACACCTTGAAGGCCATTCTGAAGAAATGCAACCCCATCAATCCCTGGGACACTCAAACATTGAATAATCCATAGTGGTGCAGTGATATACAGAGAGACCTAGTTAATCTTGTTAATCTGAAGTCAAGAAGAAATCAATGTAGATTTTCACCCTATAAACTAAATTATATATATAGAGAGAGAGAGCACAAGTTTTTGTGATAGACCAAACTTGCCTCACACAAGAAAGCAAAGGGAAAGACCTATGATTTCACACCACCAGGATCTACTCCTTCTTCCTGAAACTATTTGCTATGTCCGTATTCAAACGTGAATCTCAGCTCAAGCTCCTCAGTCATCTATGGACTCACTGATGACTTCCCTGTTTACTGGAAGACTGTCACCTTCATATTGAAAAAATACTCCCACTATGACTTGTATAGTATTTAACAGAACAAGTTCCTGTTTGAGACCTGACCATTTGAAAGTTTTGGTTACACACATTCATGTGCACACACACAAAAAAATCATGAAATCACAGACATAAAAGTGATGATAGATATTAGCTATTTCTTAAAATCCATTTAGAAATGTATCCCTGCATCCATTTCTTACTGATATGGAAGAATTGATTTAGAAAGAAAGGCCAAATAGGGAATCTGGCATGTTAGAAACTGAGCTACATGAATTGAACAGTAAGCAATGCAAAAGCATAGAAGTATATTAGATTTGAAGGGAGACAATTTGGAATAATGGATAAGAAATAGTTTATATGGTATATAATGGGAAAATAATATTAAAATCAATGAGCGCACATGAAGATGCAATAATTAAATAGGCTATAGTACCTCCAGAAATTTTTAAAAAAATTGTAAAAGGGTAAAGCATGCTACAGAAACAAACTGCAAAATAAAGTATATTGGTGGTAAAGGAAGTAAGGGAAACAAAGAATAATATACAGTCATTTATGTCATTTTAGATAAAAAATAGGGCCACAAAAAGGAGCTGAAAAATGCTAGCTAAAGAGACTTAGAGAGATTAATGAGGACTTTCACTAATTTAAAAAGGGAAAAGGAAATGCTAGGGAGAGAAAGGGGGAGCATTAATAAAATAGAGGAAGATAAAATAAACTGCTCTAAAATAGTTACATTGTATAACTGCTATTACAATCTGTCTTTAACTTTAAAAAAGGGACCTGGGAAACAAAGCTATAAGCATATTGCAAGAACTAAAAATCTTGATACTACCAGTTAATAAAAATCAGTTTGAAAACAATTGGAATCAGATTTTGTACCAATCAGTAAGTCAAAATTATATTCGTTTTAACAGAGCAGGAACCGGGAGATAAATTAATTAGTAAGCTTTCAATTTTTACAAAATATTTTTAGTATACTGGGGGATGAACTAGATGACTGGTGAAAAACTTATATTATGCTAATACCAAAGAATGAGTTCAAAATAAACATTAAATTATTGACACAATGTCAAATTGCACCAGTTATATATCTGGATTATATTTTCAATAATCAACAGATCTGTCCCATCCCTTCACTCAGAGAACACCAATAAAAAAAAGATTGGAAACTTTAGGTAATTAATTTATAGATAAACATTAAAATGCCGAAGTGTGAGTAACACACAGTGACAGATTTGCTAGCTCCCCTGATAGACCTTCAGTCAGTCTGCTCTTAGGGGATTCATCTGCTGAAGTCCCTATGTACTTAAACTGTCAGAGACAGAAGACAGTCCAGGGTCCAGCTTTAGGCCCAGTTTTGAGACTCTATGATTAGGTGCAGACCCTCTGCCTTTCTCCCAGAAGGTGTAAGACCTTCCATTTTACAGTTTAACTATTAGAAAATGTGTGCTAAACAGGCAATCACACATACTGGGTGCATCTACATGTGCAGTTAATGTGTCTGAATAGACCCCGGCGCAGTTTGCGCCAAAGTCAGCTGCTCCTGGGCGCTGCATCTTCATGTGTGCCTGAGACTGCAGCATTTCAAACTGGGGTGGACCAGCCTTGGGCTGGCAGGGGTTCTGGCCCTGGGCTCTGGTTGGCAGCGTTGGGTTGTGGAGGGGCTGGCTGAGGCACGAGGGTGCTAAAGCATGGGCAGGGGTGATTGGTGACTCCTGAGTCTGGAGGGGCACAATTTGTGGGGGGG